GAGAGATGATGCATGCATAAAAGTTTACACTGATCGCCTGTGTGCAGCAGTTCATATAGGTTGCGTTTCAGTGACTAAAATACTTATACTAGACTTCAGCGCACAGCATTTGACACTAATGATCCCTCCATTCTGTTGGAAAAGTTGGGATAAACAATACGCTACCTCAGAACTACAAAGTTCTATCTACTCAGTCCTAGTTTTGATCAAAAAATTTGTGAGGCAGCGTGGTGGAATCACCAAAATAGTCAAAGGGAAGAAACCTACATTTTTCCGCAGGTTTGTGAATTTTTATCAAATGTTTGTTTTTAGGCTCAACACCTTACATGCCCATTAAAGAACTCATTTCTGTTTGGATTTTTCTGAACAACGTTGATTAAAGGCACAAATAATGTAAATTGTCAGTTACCACAGGCTCTTAAGCTAAGGAAATAACTAATCTGTCACTAATTTTACCTCTGAAAACAGGGGACCCCCACCTCCTTCAATTGCAAGTATATCAACTTGTATTCAAGATAAATGGATACTTTTTTCATACAGATAAGGACTGGTGAAGAAACTTTAAGATGATACCAATTTATAACTCTACATGTCCAAAAATTAACGATAGTCTGATTCCACCACGCTGCCTTACATTTGACGTCAAACACTTTGAGTTTCATCTTTTTCGAATGCAGTTCTTGAAATATCTTGATAACGACTCAGATTAATCTTACGATTCTGACACAGCGGATAAAGCATTTGCTTTCTGACCTCATGGTCTCATACAGTAACTCAAAACGGTCCCAAAACAGTCAGATAGAACTTTGCAATTCTGAGGTACCCGGTAGATCTAGCGATTTGGAAAACATGTATATTATGATAAGGTTCTTGAGTACCATGGTTCTAATCATGGCAGAGCTATCTGGACGTTCTTGTAAAGGCGAAAAAGTCAGCCATGCAATGTACAGCTTGCATTTCAGGGCTGTGGGTTAGGACAACGGTGATAAGATAAGATAAGATAAGATAAGATAAGATGAGATGAGATGAGATGAGATGAGATGAGATGAGATGAGATGAGATAAGATAAGAT